CAATCAGGAAACATGGTCTAAAAATGCCCCGATCTGGTAACTCCCTTACTTTCCTGCAGAGACCTATACTTGGACCTAACCCTGTTTTATAGATAGCAATCGGGTCATTCTATAATTTAGGGTACGTTTAATTTCTATTGACGTTAATTGTTTGAAACAATAGTATCTGTTTTCATTATTATTTAATGGATCTGAGCTAACATGAACAAAAATGAAGAGTTGTGTTTTTGTTAACTAACAGATCACTAGCAGATGAATGAGGCAATGAATAAGTTTCAGTAACTAATGTGTTACAGTCGAAATGTTCTCTGTGTTTGTAATTCCTGTGTTGGTGGACGGTGATTAACTCCTGCTTCGCTTGCTTTCTGCAGGAGAGACCAGAGAGGAGAGGACTTTCAGAAACTGGATGAATTCTCTGGGTGTCAATCCTCACGTCCATCACTTATACGCGTAAATCACACACTTTCTTACCTTCGTGTCTTAATCTGTTTCATGAAACCCTAATCAAGTTGATAGTGAAATGAAATGCATGTCACGTGTAACATTGTAACTGTAAATGAAATGAGATGTCAGAGTCACTTTTGAATGTTTTGGTCCTTTTCAGTGATCTTCAAGATGCTCTGGTCATCCTGCAACTTTATGAGAAGATCAAGGTTCCTGTCGACTGGAGCAACAAAGTCAACAAGCCTCCATATCCTAAACTAGGGGCCAACATGAAAAAGGTAGCCATTACCCTTTCTCCAAAACCTGCTCTCTGAGGACACAAATATGCAGAATGATTGACAGAGAGCATTTCTAATCAGCTAGTTTTCTGATTGGATAAAGGGCTGTTATGTCCTCCGTCTCTACATGTACGTGTGTGTTTCTGTGTGTCCAGCTGGAGAACTGTAACTACGCTGTGGAACTGGGGAAGACCAAAGCTAATTTCTCGCTGGTGGGCATCGGGGGGCAAGACTTGAATGATGGGAATCCAACGCTCACTCTCGCCCTGGTCTGGCAGCTCATGAGGAGGTACAACTCAAACTATTAGCACAGATATGTATTCAATAAGCTAATAACGTGTACAGTATAGTAAATATTGAATAGTAAATATCTAAATGTAATTAATAATAAATATTGTAAAACAGTTTGATCATTCAAACCATTTTTGAAAGAACGCTTTTTTTCATCAAGGACACATTAAATTGATCAAAAGTATCTATTAAAATCTATTAACCAGTGTTAAAGAACTGAACCTTATTGTAGAGCTTTTATGCAAATACTGTAAAATTCATATGTGATTTAAATGCAGACATAGCAGAATTCAAATGATTATTTGAAAAAACAACACTGAAGTCTAGTTTATTGATTCATTTATTTGTATTTTATTTTTCTTATAAGAACATGTATATGAATATAAAGCTTGAAGAGTTTATTTATTAGTTAAAATGTGCTAGTAATCTGATTCTGATGAGTCTTTGTGCTGTGTTTCTCCAGATACACTCTGAATGTACTAGAAGGCCTGGGCGACGGACAGAAGGTCAACGATGACATCATCGTCAGCTGGGTTAATAAGACTTTGTCACAAGCAGGAAAATCAACCAAAATATCCAGTTTCAAGGTGCTCAAGCTTTCATTTATCTGCTAACATACACACAAACTGCGTTTGGGTCACCCCTAAAGCACCTTCTTTTAGGTCACAATATATCAACATGCAGTAACAATTGAAATTATTTTCATCAATATAAATATGAAAAGATTTGCCGCAAAGTAATACATGCTGCCGTGATCAGAAATACAGTGTAATCAGTACTGTATATCCAATCACTCTCCACGCTAATAATTAACAAGTAACTACTGTTGCCAGCCGAAGTGTAACAACAATGGAACAGAAATTCCACTAGCGACTAGTGATTATAGCCTATCTCGTCTCTTTATGGGATAATTACCAGGATCCTACAGGGGTAAGTGCCGTATTTCCTTCAAGAAATATGCAAACACTTACCCCCTTTTAAGGTTAAGGCCCTGCAACAATCTCTGATTGGAAGACGGCGCCATGAGATGGACCAAAATCAGCCTGCTTAAAACTGGACACAAAGCCTTCGTGTTTCGCTTGCTTGCTTTCTGGATCTTTGGCTCTTCTGCCTTATTGATTGCGCTACAAAGCGCTCACAGCCGTAACATCAGGCTAGTGATCCTCCAAAACTCCAAAACTTAGTCAAACTTCATGACTGCAGAAATCTTCAAAGCTTAGTCTTTGCAAACAGAATCTGAGAAGAACTTCCAGCACGTCGTCACGTCACAAGGAAACCAACCAATCACCGGAGGGCATCCCCACACTTACCCCCTTTTACTGTAGGTCCTTCCCTGAACTCCAGCATGCCTTTCCCACTCGATCTCGGGACATTTCTTTTCCCGGTTCATAGGGAGAATCCCCCCTTCCCGGACGAGCCCCCAACCGGAAGAGTTCCCGGGTTCAAATCCCGGACGAGCCCCCAACTGTTAAAATAAAAGTATTAAAGTAATTGCGGAGATCCCGTCTGGTTGGGCTACGTAGCAGAGGAGACGGGTACCCGGGACCGAGAATGACAAAGACACAAGTAGTGCAGTTCACTCAAGGTTCAAACATTATTATCTAGGGGTACATACAGTATATAGTCTAGCAAAAGTGAAATATTGAGCTAAGCAGAAGTGGAGCAAAGATAAAGTAGCCTTATAAGGCAACAGTATGTCTCATGACCAGTGGGTAATGTCTACATCCTAAAATACAAGAGGCATAGGATGTTCTAGAATCTCACACATAAACACACACACACACACAAACATATTATATATTAATTCAGCCCCTGTATTCATGTAGCTGCATGTGTTGGTTGAATATCAGAATTAAGTATAATGTTCTGGACTGTAGGACAAAGAGATCAGCTCCAGTCTGGCGGTGTTAGACCTGATTGATGCCATCCAGCCCGGCTGCGTCAACTACGACCTCGTGAAGAGAGGCAGCCTTAGCGACGAAGACAAACTGGACAATGCAAAGTAAGATTTCAAAAGAGTGTTCATTATATAACATACATACAGCATTAAGATACTGGAATGTGTGTGTAAATGTATGAAGCATGCTATGCTGTCAGTTATGACTAGGGGTAAGAATATTTAGGCACTTCAAGTAGTATAATATAACTTTTTTAAATAATCTTAAAATAATTGTAAAGTTCAGTATCTGAGACTGCTTTAAGTACTTAAAAGCTTCCAGGCAGGCACATTGATTGACCTTTCTCATAATTATTCCTGTTTGATTATTACATTCATGCTAATGCACAGATTTATTTTAACATATCAGATGTTCTGTCCTGTCCTTACGACAAAACTGACAGTGTTTACAGCGATTTTGCATCATAACATTTAGAGATGAGAGTGCATTTATCCCCTCACACAGACTAACACACAGCCGCAAACTCACTTCAGAACAAACACACACATGAGCATGTGAAAGCAGCTGTCTGGCAGTAAGTGTGCTTTGTGTGTACAATATGTAATGGCATAAATTTTGCCTTTGTCAAGTATTTGGAAGGTAAAATGCTGAAATACTGACAAGTGAAAGCGCACATTATTAAGCAAAGTGCATGATTCTCACAGTGCATATCCTGTACAATGATATCCCACATATCCTATGATTGCTTTTGTATTTCACTTCAACCATGAAACTTTATGCAAGTTTATATACATACTCAAGTGTGTGTTATTAGCAGCAAGCAGAATACAGCTGTCTCTAGTGCATACAAGTTCAAAATCGATTCTGAAATTTTCAGAATCATTGAAGAGAGAATCACAGAA